ATGTACCTTTGCCCTACAGCTGTCCCAAGACACAGCCTTGTCAGAAAGTAAAACTTTACTTTCTCCTCCCAGTCAATGCTGCTGCAAAACACTAATTTCTCCCCTTGCCCCCTCCCCCATGCTTATTATCCCAATTCCATCTCTTCATATTGTGCTTAGATACTTCTCACTCCTCAATCTCCCTCCCTCACTCTCCCGCATTCCTTCTGTTGTGCTGTGCTGCAACTAGAACGCTGTTTAGGGCCTCAAATGCCAAACTCAACTCCTGCTGTACTACTCCCATCAAGCAATTCCTCTTCCCCTCACCAGCTCCCACACCCTTCACTCCTCTTCACTGTTGTCCTGCACCTTGTCCTGTTTACATCGTGAGTAGGGAACGCGCGTGTGCATGAAGTGCCTTGTAGCTCTACAGCACTACACAGAACTACTCACTGTCCGTTACGTCTTCCCAGCGCTCTGCAGGCAACGTTCACAAACACTGAAGCTGGGTGCTGTGAGGTTTGTGGGACTTCTCCTTTGAGAAGTTCCTGCAGCCTCTGCAGCATTGTGCAAGCTGTCTGGGAAGAATTCATGGCTCTTTATAAAGATCACAAAGTAAGTGATACTAAAGCTGGGATTGAGAAGAGCAGGATTCATTGCCCAGAAAGATCTCAGTATTTTGTCCCTACTTCCTTTGAGTCCTCCTCCCCCTTCATTAATACCCTTAGTCCACAGGTCCTTGCTCTGGTCCATTTTCTGCACTCCAAGGCAGCAGAAGGAAAGACGTGATCCTGACAGTTCCACTGTTGCTATTTTCACAGCCTTGTGGGCAGCAGTGAAAGTGGTAAGAGCAGCTGGTGCTATCTGTCCTGATTCAGCAAGATAACAACGACAGTAACCTTTAACACTGGCTTCATATTTAGAAGGCAATATTGACAAACAGGATGGAATTCACATGAATAGAGTAAAGCTTTGTTTCTGCACAAACCAACAGCTGAATCACTTACACATGAAACATTTACACTTCCTTTTTAGCAGCAAGCGCTAATACTGTTTGTGACTTGGAAGTAGTTTACCCTGCACAGGGGCATCATTTAACACTAAAGGACACCTGACCAGACCTCTTCTGTGTACACCATGATCCAGAGGACTGAGAGTTGCCTACCACAGCCGTTGACAAAAACAATTGAAGTTGAAAGAATCATTCACTTCAAGCAAAATGTTCTCGAAAAGAAGTATGAATTCAAATGTTTATGAGCAGGGCAACTCCAAGACAGCACTGCCAAGACAATGGGCAGTATACAACTATGCAGTTAACCCAAACCACCCGAAGCTATAGGAATTCTGAAAACAACCAGAGTTGAGATATTTCAGCTTGTCACTGAGCAGCAACACTTTAATTACCTCTTGTTCAGTTTACTCACCATCTGTCACAGTCCTCATGATAGTCTTTCAGCCTTAATGGCAGGTTAATAATTTCTAATTAAAAACTGCCTGAAAAACCGCTCAGAGGAAGAAATCCCTGTGGTCTCTGAGAACTGCACAAGCTGGGCCCAATACCTTTCAAGAGAAATTCAGTGTTCTCTCTGGAGAGACCACCATCTCTTTCTACTTATTTCCATAGTGCACATCACAGGGCAAACTGCCCCCATTGTACTCAAGCTGACAGTGAGGATGAGGAGGAGGATTTCTTGTGGGTTAAGTCCAGGACTGTGTGTGCAACAGTTGAGGTTTATTCTCCACCCTGACACATGCATGTTTTATGATGACTATTGCCTTTTTGTGTTGCAGCAAAAGGCAGAAATCGCTAGCATGCACCAGAACTCCACTGTGGCTGCTACGGGATGATCAGAAGTAAAAGAAACCCCCTGCCACACACACCTTACAATCAGAATAATCACATTTCTTGCGTGACCTTAGGTAAGTCCCTCTCTCCTTTCTTGGGTTTCCCCTAAATAAAATGCACATAATTGTATTTACTTAGCCTACAAGGGGATTTTGAAATGTAATGAAGATGCGTAATGCATCAAGTTCATCAGCAGCTAGTGACACAGAAAAGCAAATAATTAGTAGCAGCAGTTAAGCTTCAAACACCTACTGACCACTATGTGTTGGGACAGAGTAACTGAGAAACAGGAAAGGGTACAGTAGAAGGAAGGACCATCTCTGAGGTCTAGAAGCATTAGCTCCATTGCTTTAAATGTTCCTGGCTCTGCAAAACAGTATGCATACAGAACGGCCATAAATACTGAATGGCATTTGAGTTCTGTCAGAGTGGGAAATACACCCTGGTCTGTCAAAGCCCCATCCCACACTTTAGCTTTACTGCTGCAACGTGGGTCTGAACAACGGCTCCAACCCAGCGCTGCCTCGACGGTCACCCCGCTGCCAAGCAGCAGCTGCAGATGTGCTGAACCCGTCTGGAGACTCAGGAGGATAAGACTGAAAACATCTGTAGTCTGATCACAACTGGAATATCACCTTGATACATCGCCCGGGATCTTCAACTCATGACTGGAGGCCCAAGGACCATGATTCATAGTAGTTACATGCTGTCACACTGAGCACAACGAAGATTAACAAACAGCTCAACCAACCACAAGTTATCTGCTTGGGTTACTGGGTGAAATGTTAGGTCTTTTGATCCACTCAAAGCCCTTCATTTAGATCAGTGGTTCTCAACCTTCACCCCTCACTCGCTCTGACGCACTCATCCTTAGATCTGAGGCCCTCCGTGGAAGTTGCCAGCTCTTGCTTTTCATTCATCTTCTGAACACAGACAAATGCTAGAGCCAATCTCCTGTTGCAAAATATACAACGGGGCACAAATATATTTCTGGTCTCTTGATTCATTTGCAACAGAAGATTGGCTCCAATATTAATACATGTATTCTTGAGACACTGGGTTCCCATTTGAAATCTCTGGTCTTCTGATACGCATCATATTGCAAATTTTACCCCGTAGTCAGACAGGCACGGACGACGGGGGTTTTAGCTTCCTCAGTAGCGGCTTTCCCCGGGATCGCTTGAGCACGTGCTGACTGCGTCATCTCACGAGGTCTCTTCCAGCCCTAACCTTCTGTGAATCCGTAAACATTTCATGGAAACAGGACGGTGGCTACTACGGGTCCCCTGCCGCACCTGTGCCAGGTTCGGGCGGGCTGCCTATGCTGCGCCCAGGTTAGGTTACCTGCAGTCCCGTGTCCACCTGCCACCCCCACTGCAGAAAGGATGTGGACACGTTGGAGAGAGTCCAGCGGAGGGCAATGACAATGGTTGTGGGGCTGGGGGACAGGACTGGTGAGGTGAGGCCGAGGGAACTGGGCTGATTGAGTCTGCAGAAGGGAAGACCGAGGGGGATTGAATAGCAGCCTTCACCTCCCTGCAGGGGGGGCTGCAAAGAGGATGGAGCTGGGCTGGTCTCGGTGGGGGCAGATGGCAGGACAAGGAGCAATGGGCTGCAGCTGCAGCGAGGGAAGTTGAGGGTGGATATGAGGACACCACCGTGGCTAGGAGGGCGAAGCACTGGAGCAGGCTCCCCAGAGCCGTGGTGCGGTCTCCACCCTCGGAGGTGGTGAAGCGCCGGGCAGACAAAGCCCTGGCCGGGCCGATCCTGCAGGGCTGCACTAGACGCGACTCCCGAGCTCCCCTCCGGCCCCCGGCCCGTGACCGCGCGGGGAGCGGGGCCCAGTCATGGGGGGAAGGCCCCAGCCCAGGGCCGCGTTGCCCCGGTAACCGGCGGCCAATCCCGGCGCTACAGACCCTGAGGGGCGGGGCCTTCCTGCTCCTCCCCCGCCCGGGCCCCGAGAGCGGCGCGGCCGCGGCACCTGGAACT